TCGAAATCTTCTCAAAAATGCCTTTTTACGGCTGTCAAATTTCACACTTGAATTTTGTGTGAGTGAAGTTTTTGACATGAAAATCGGCAGTGCTATGAAAAGTAGAAATGAGAGGGAAACTAAGGAAACGTTCAGATGAGTGGATATACAAAAAATTTAAATTTTTCTACTTGAGATGTCTCAAGTCGAGAGGATGCTGTTATTGATTGAAGTGGATGATGATTATAAAGAAACTAAGAAGCTTATGAATAATAATTTTTGATAGAAATCTTAAAGGTGCTTAAAGTCTTGAAGCCAGGCACAACTGCATTTTTACTACAAACAAGGCGACTCATGAGTACTTAATTGATTTGATTGAAGCTGGAACGGCCCAAATTTGTAGATCTGGAAGTAAAATATGCTGCACACATTCAAATGTTTGCCACCCGGCAGTCGGGTTGAAAGTATAATTAGAACCAAGCAGCAGCCACTTGGAAACAACTTCCAACTAGATACCAAGAAGTTTCCACGTGGCTGAGCTAGTATAAAACCTAGAAAGTAAAAAGTGGTCCCTACTAAAACCTAGTAAGTGCAAAATGTTCCCTACTTAACCAGTCAAACTCAATATGAACACAAGAAACTACAATATTTATTAAACCATAACCTTTTAACGCCAGAAGTGAGAACAGAAATATTATTCATCATCACAAACTTTCAACCTTTCTGCTTCATTCTATAAAAAAACTTTTTCTCTGCAAACAAATTTTATTTGACTTTTACAAATTAAAATTCAACCTTAAAATAACATTTCGTAATTATATAGAGCAGTGTTTCTCAATCTTTTTTCGTCCATGGCACATTATTTTTACATAAAAATTTTCGCGGCAAAATAAATGATTTTTATGATATTTTCAAGTCATAAAAAATGAAAAATGTAGGAACAATTTTAACAATCAATTTTTTTCGCAGCACACAGTATGAGAACCACTGATATAGAGTATGAAAATAGTAAAATAGCTTTGTGATGAATGCTTTTCTACTAATTACACAAAGGTTATGTCGTCAAATAAACTATTTTTTGTTCAGAATCTAAAACTAAGGCGCGTTGAAGCTCAAAATGATAAATTTAAATTAAATTTCATTTCTCTCGTCGAGGTTAATGTAAAGAAAGGAGTGAGACATGAGTAATATAAGCTGGCAATAAGTCAAAAATTATGGGAGATTTTTAAATTTCATGTTGACATTTCCAATCCTTAATTTGATGTAACATAATAAGTTCATAGTTTGTCGTGTTAATTAACTTAAACATTAGTGAAATTAAATATTTAAACTGCTGATTATGAACTGAAAATCTGTGGATTTGTTTACTTTAGGGAAGGAGGAATGAGCTCTGATAGACGGTAATCAGTGAATATTATTTAAATTGGAGTTTAATTTTGAAGCTGGTAGATATGAGCGAAGTTACGGCTTTAACTGCTCGGAAGTTGAAATTCTTTGCTCCAATGATGCAACATTGGCTCAAAGAGCATATCAATAATAGATAGGCCTGAGCATAGGGCTCGCGTTGGAACTGGTTATGTGTGTATGGCGGATAGCAGGGATCTCTGATCGAGTGGTCAAAGATCGCCTCTTTTGAGGTCGTGGGTTCGATTTCCATCGAATCCGACTTGTTTAACATTAGTGTACACATATTATGGCATTTAAAAGGAGATCTACAGATATACTTCTCATTGTTATGTACGACAGCTTTAAGCTCCACTTCCAAGCTTCTCTTTTTATCAAGATTCAAGTTACAAAACACTAGTTTTCAGATTACTAAAATTTCTTCATAAAATATCCATAAAACTATTTTTCCACTAAAGTCCATTAACACACAACCCCAATATCCTTAATTTCCCTAATTTTCCAATATCAATAAATCTCCAACTATTAATTTCCATCTCTCAAAAGACCACTTTTGTACCAGAAAACAACAAATTTACAATAAATTACCAGCAACATCCAAACAAATAAACACTTGCTGATTATAATTTTAATTCCATTTTCAGCTGGAAAATGGAATCAGCAAAGCATAGCTCGACAAATTCACCGAACTGTGAAAAGACAACAAACAATAAATATTTTTATTCTTAATTTCTATTTCAACGCACCGAAAGAAAATAAAAAGAAGGAAGAAAATGGTAGGAACACAAATCACATTCAACCATAGAAGCACGTAAATGACACTAGAAATAAAATTATTAGGCAATAAAATCTAATTTATTGAATAGTTGAATCGCCACTTATAAAAATGTAAAGAATGGCACTTTTTGTGCTCTAGTCTGTATCCTTTCGATTACTATTTGTGGTGTCTTTTGAATGCTGTGAGTCTAGTGAATGGAAATAGGAGAATATGTGAAGGATATAAAGTCAATGTATTGGAAAATTTTATTGACAAATAATGCAAATTAATCAAAATTTAATTCAAAAACTATTTTATCTTATTGACTTTCAGGTATGTGTGTGCTTTGAGAGGGGATTGTTGATAACAGGATTCTCGTAAGGAACCAAATGACTATCAGGCTGTATAAAGTTGTTTTCGTGCATTTTGAGTTGTTTTGGAAGGAATCCTTTATTTCTGAGTCAATTTTCGATCTCAACTTGAGATATTTTTCCTGTTGGATGATTTTGCTACATGCATGGTCAGGACTTAGCATCAGTTATAACATAAGAAGCCTTTGAGCCTCAGAAACCTCCTTAAAAACCAAAAATTGGTAGAAAATACATTTTTTTGTGAATTTCAGACAGGGTTGCGATACAGGCACCTGGGCACAGGTGAGAACCGTACAATTCCTTGATAATTTATAAGGTTTTTGTAACAAAACCCATCAAATTCTAATAAAACCTCACAAATTATCAAGGAATTGTATGGTTCTCACCTGTGCACTGGTACCTGTATCGCAACTCTGATTTCAGATGTGTCACTAAGCTTAAGCTCCACTCAGGTGCTTTTCAAATCTAAAAGAAATCTCTTCGATTATAGAAAGTAATAATCCTCCTTGATTCACAATTCCAAATATTCACAAATCTTCCCAAATACAGAGTTGAGATATCTTTTTATTTTGGTATCATTTTCGTTACATTCACAAAACATTTGACATCTTTACCTAAATTCTGAGAAGTCTTAATAACATTTGCATCGAAATAAAAGGGTTCTTAATTAAAATGTTTTGTTCCCTCAACCCACGGGCAATAAAATGCTTCAAGAAACATTCGAGATGAAATTTCGTTTATTTTTCAGCAGAAATTGTCAACAAGAAGAATTGTTGTTTTCATGCAAACTTAGTTACAAGACGGTTGTGGGCAGCTCACGCACTGTTTAATTTTTTTTGAGTTTCTCATGTTTTCCAATTTAGATGTTTTTCTTCTAATTCCATAAATGTTTTTTGTACATTTTAATTGCTTTAATTGGGATTGTTTCTGATATTTTTTTTTCATTAATGAAACATGTGGTGCTTAATATGCGCACTTGTTACATGAATTTCATTACATTAAAGTCACCTTTTGTAACCTTTAGAGACGTCTTTGGGTTGAGTGGGCTTGAAATTTTTTGTTTCAAATGATTATCATTTGGATTGAAATGGATTTTGAGTGTTTGTGAAAAAAGTCTGTAATTTTAATTGGAAAGTGTTTTTTTTTAAGTTCTGAGCTATGCCTAAGAGTTGCTTTGGCATAGCCACGTTCAGGTGGAAAGCCAGGAGAGAGTGCCCCCCCCCCCCCCCTCCCCATGTTTCTAGCTCCATGAGACGTTAGAATGTTTTGAAGGTTCCTGTTACTACTCGGGTTACTCTTATATTATTAACATGATACGAATTTAAAACTATCATCTTACAATTATTTCCAATAATTACAATCAATTTCAAAGTATTATTAATAATTTATGCTCCATTTGATTACACAAAATTGAATTTATTTGTTTCACACGGTCAATGTGTTGAGAAGTAACACCAAAGGGAAATCTAATTAGGCTTGCGTGTCATAAAGCACTTGATTGTTTCCGATTAGATTCATTGTAGTAATTGCTTAATGATCAGTAGTTTGAAAATTATTCTTTTTTTAATTTTTAATTCATTGAAAGTCGTTGATAGAAAATGTTTAGCAATATCTTGCATGAAAGCTAATTTAGTAGGGTCATTGTTTAAGCTGGAGTGCAGAGTTTCCAAACTTTTTGAGCGACGGCACATCTTAGGGTTAAGCCACGACCAAAGTTGCACACAACATCCGGCTCACATCATTACCATCAATTTCTACGGCACACAATTTGGACAACACTGCTATAGTGGGTGAATTTAAAAATAATTCCTTAATCTATAGGTTGCGACTCAGTTCTCAGGCTATGGACCACAATTGATCTGTACGGCCAGCGAAGTAAGTAAGTAAGACTCAGTTCTCAGATTAATAAAACCTCAATTTTTCGTCTCGGGCTTGTGGAACTTTAACAAGCTTCTTAGAATGAATAACATAGGACTTACCTTCATAGTCACCAGACATAAACAATTTCAAGAATTTTGCATATACACAACCACATACGAGACACAAACAAACCTTTAGTACAACATTAACAAGACATCTTCAAAATCCAAAAAATCAATATGGGCCGTTCATAAATGGTGCCTTCATTTTTGATTACGGAAGCTGTGATTCTTTTATTTTTAAAAACATTTTTATAAATTCAAATTTTGTCGAGCGGGTTCAACTTTCTAGACGTCATTTTTAAATGACCCCCAATTCAAAGAAAAATATTTCCCACAGCCTTACGTCACATTCTCACCTTCATTTAGTCTACATAACATTTCCCATATTTTTCTCATGTGTCTCATTATTGCAGAAAATTGGCTGTTTACAATTTTTATGTGCGTGCTGTCCAAAAATTGGTTCTTAAAACAACAAAAACTTTATTTTTTTTTGTCACTAAAAGTCCACAAATAATATTTCAAATCAGACAGTCGAGCAGCACAATTCAAGATTGTCACAGGTCCGGAATGTATATTAAAGAAATTGCTGTATTTCTTGTTGTCTTTTTGGCAGCAAAGTATTTCTGGCGTAAACGGAGATTCTTCTATTTGGCATCGAAAATTCCGAGAAGTAATTTTGACTTTTCATGGAAAGGCATTTACGAATTTCTCACAGCAGACAGCAAGAAGATTTTTGAGCAAATTTATGGCAGTGTCAAAGGAATGGATGGAATTGCAAAGACATGGCTCGGTCCGGTTCTATTTGTGATTGCCAATGACCCGGAAGATGTGAAAATCATTTGGAACTCAAAGGAATGTTATGACAAGCCATACTTTGTCAAATTTCCTGGAATTTATGAAGGTTCACTTTTTGGAAGCATTCATGCATGGCAGACGCATCGAAAGATTTTAGATCCATATTTTGGCAATCAAAAGCTCAAAAACTTCCTCCCGATTTTTGATGAGAAGTCAAAAGTTTTAACGAGAAAAGTTGGTGAGATGCTTGGCAAGGGAGAATTTGATGTTTTTCATTACATGACGGCATTAACATTAGAGACAATTTTGAATGCGATGGAACTGAATGTGGACATACAAAATTTAGAAGTAAAGGTTCGAGATCTTACGATTAAGGGTTTGGAGAGGTAAGTTGATGAATTTTAAGTGACAAGCTGACTAAGTCTGAATTTTAACATTCCAGAGCTAGCAAAGTCGTCACAAAAAGAATTGTCAGCTTCTGGCTGCATCCCGACTTCATCTACAAACGCACAAAATATTTTGTAGCTGAAATGAAAGCAAAGTCACATTCAGCATTCACATATGTCGATGATGTTATTGAGAATATCCGGCAAAATATTGACTCTGGTGAGGAAGTAAATATTAAGCCAACAAGCTTCATGCGTGCTTTATTAGATTCAAAGCATGATTTACCTCGAGAAGAAATTGTTGATGAGATTAGAACGCTTTTGATTGCTGTGAGTATCCAAATGGCACAAGTCAGTTAATCGATAGCATCAAGTTGGTGTGACTATTGGGATGGTGCTGGATTTAAATCGAAGCTAGCACCATGCAAGAGTCATGTCGGCTTGACACTAGATTTCTATTCGATTAACCGACTATTCAGGATGATTGAACCTGAATTTTGAATATTTTGTTGAATTTTGAATGTTTTATCAGGCACAAGATACATCAGCATTGGCTATGTCATCATCACTCCTCCTTCTAGCAATGCACAAAGATGCACAAAACAAAATCATTGCTGAACTCCATGATGTTCTTGGAAAATCTCCAAATGCTCCATTCATTGACTTTGAGAAGCTCAGTCAGCTTCAATACACAGAAATGGTCATCAATGAAACGATGAGGCTGATGCCTGTTGTTCCATTTGTTGCTAGACGAGTAGAAAATGAAGTTGCAGTAACCAAAGGCTACATAATTCCAGCAGATGCAAACGTTTTCGTTCCTATATATGGAATTCACAGGAATAAAAGTATTTGGGGTGAAGATGCCGATCAATTCCGACCAGAAAGATTCGAAAAAGAAAATTTCCAGAAAATTCATCCATATGCATTCATTCCATTCACAAAAGGACCAAGAATGTGCCTTGGATATCGATATGCAATGGCATTAATGAAAGTTCAACTTGCAAACTTTTTGATGCAATATGAAGTTGACACAAGCTTGAAGTACGAGGAATTGGAATTTGAATTGAATATTACATTGAATGTTTGTCAAGGATTAAGGATTAGCATAAAAGAGAGGAAATGAAATGTGATTGAATGGAAATAAGGATTTCTAAGGCATGAATGAATTTTGATTTATGATTTTTTTACTAAAGGCATTTAAATTAATTTTAGGGTGTTGTATAAAAAATTAGTAAAAAATTGAAAATTAATAAAATTGAAATTAGTCTTGGAATAAAATGTATTTTAATCATTGACTCTTGACATCCATTATTTTTATCTAGAGGGCGATTCCATGAGTGAATTTTTTTTTCTCAACTCAATTTTTTGTAAATATTTCCTCAATTAACTTCATTTAACGCCATATTTAAGATTTATTTTATTTATTATTATGGTTTTTATGTAATTTAGTGCATAATCTTTTAGTTAAATCTGTCTGACAAAAGATATTTTAAAAAAACCAAACTTAATCGGTCAACTTTACAAAAAATTGATTTTTAAATTTTTATCAATATTTCTTTGAATATCCATTGTTGTGTTACAAATCTATGATAAACACACGTGAAATCGCCTGTGCTTTATAACAAGATCTTATTTGTATGTCTTACTACTGTAATTAAGGAGAAAATTGGGGAAAACACCACTTAATCGGTCAACTTTCAACCGATTATTGCAAAACATATTACATATTTTTGTCAAAATGCAGCATAATTAAGACGATTAAATGCTAATAACACATGAATTGATGAATAATAAGTCTTATTTAGTGAAAAGATATGTTGAAATATGTATATTTAAGCAGAAAAAGCTAAAAAATATTTTGAAAAAAAAATTTTCAGTTTCATTTACCCATGGAATCGCCCTAGAGTTGAACTAAAGCTTGGTGACAAGATGGTATGTGGTCTGGAAATTCCGAATTTTCGATTAACGTTTTAGACGTTCTTAGTTTTCAAAAATCAACAAAAATCACAAAATTTTTAGATTTAGCATCTAAACTTGTCTTTCGTGACTCCCTTAAATTACATTAAATAAGGTCAAAAACAATTACGTCTGTTTACATTATTTAAGTTACATAAGATTTAATGTGTCAACAAATTTAAGCAATTGAAGTTGATTATGACCCTTCAATTATTGTCAACAGAGTTGGTTATTTGAGTGCTTGCTAGTTTCTTTAGAATTCATTCTGGATGAGGTTGAGAATATCGACTCAGAGACTTGAAAGTTGGTATATCCAGAGTAAAAATTGATTGACCTAATATCAGTTTGGTCTTTTATTCACTTGGAATGGATCCCTCGTAACCCAAGCAGGGGTATATCCAAGGAGTAAAACTTTTGAGGAAATCCTTCCCAACTAGCTAAAAACTATCCCGATTTGACTAGGGAATCCAAGTTTTTCCATTCAAATTTCCAACTTAATAGAAAATCTTTACCAAATTTGACCATTTGTTTTGCTTATGATCTTCCAAGCTAATACCCATCTCTGTCAAAATACCACCAAAAGCAATAAATTCCAAAAAATTATAAAATTCCCTCATTAATTTTTTTTACTTTTCCATTGTTTCAATAAATCCAGCAAAGCAGCAGCAAAAAAAATCTTCGTTAACATGTGAATTTTCATAAAGGCAGCATGACAGTTTTCGTTTTACACTCGACACAATAAGTTGCGGATAATAATGATTGTCACAGAAATTTTATTTTTCGTTGCTTTATTTATGGCCATTAAGTTATTGTGGCAGCAACGACGTTTTCTGTATTTGGCATCAAAAATTCCAAAAAGTAATTTTGATTTTTCGCTTAAAGGAATTTATAAATTCCTCACGGCTGACAGTAAAGAATTATTTGAAATGAGTTACGGAAGCTTTAACGATACAGAAGGAACTGTTAAAACATGGCTCGGGCATGTGTTGATGGTGATTATTGGAAATCCAGAAGATGTGAAAATTGTGATGAAGTCTAAAGACTGCATTGACAAGCCTAAATTTATGAAATTTTTTCGAGCACCAGATGGAGTTTTGTTTGGTGACTATGAGCCATGGCATGCACATAGAAAAATTTTAAATCCATATTTTAATGTCCAAGGTGTTAAAGCATTCATACCAATATTTAATGAAAAATCAAAAAAATTAATGAAGTGTATTAAAAGTGTGGAAGGAAGTGGTGAATTTGATGTGTTTTATTATTTGACTGCATTGGCATTGGAAACAGTCATGAAAGTTATGGAATATGATAAAGAAATTATCAACACTGGAAGTGAAAATCGTGAAGCTTATGTGAAATATTTGAGAGAGTGAGTATTTTAGTAAAGAAGGTGTGAGGGCGTCAGTAGTTCCTTGGAATATTGAAACGAGACAATCCTCCCAAGAAATTAAATCAGGGGGTTCGTTGGGGATGTGGATGTCCCTTGCTAAGTCTATGAATTAATTAGTAATAAAACCCAGTAAGTGTCAGAGTGTGAGTCTGAGCCTGTTATTGTTGAGTAGACTTAGATCTCAGGTCCAGGTGCGTAGCCAGGAGGGTATTGTCTTCCTCTTAAGCGTTTTAGGCTGTGATCTCTCTGCGGTTCAAAACGTTTAAGGCGGGACAAGACCCTCCTGGCTACGTGCCTGCTCAGGTCAGACGTGAACTAAAGGCATAGTCAAGAAGAAGTTCTATGGCAAGCACGAATGAAAAAAGAGCTTAAATTTCAATTTTTTTGAACTTTATTTAAGAAAGACCCAAAAACCAAACTGAAACAATCAGATTAAAACCTAAAATTGAATTCCCTTCATCTACAGCTTCCTCAAATCAGTCTCCCTAAGAATCTTCAAGCCATGGCTACATCCAGATATATTTTATCAACAAACAAAAACTTATCAAGAAGAACAAGAAGCTTTGAAGCAAACAGCATTAAAGTTTTCTGCTGAAATTTTAGAAAATATTCGCAATAAGTCTAAGAATGGTGACAACAATGAGCATAAATCGAAAAGTTTCATGAGGGAACTAACTCAGTCGAATTTAAATGAGAATGAAATTAACGATGAAATTAGGACTCTTATGGTTGCGGTTAGTTGTGAAGCTGCATGAAATATATTTAAAAATATTACAAAGACTATTTTTTCCAGGCACAAGACACCACAGCGCTTTCATCATCCTCAATTCTCCTCCTCCTTGCTATGTACAAAGACATTCAAGTCAAAGTTGTGGCTGAGCTACATCAAGTTTTTGGAAAAACACATGAAGTGCCGTACATTGACCATGATCAACTCAACCAGCTTCAATATTTAGAACTAGTCATGAATGAAGCAATGAGACTCACACCAGTAGTTCCAATAGTCTTTCGACTGGCAAATGATGAACTTACTCTAAGTGATGGAAGTAAAATTCCAAAAGGATCAAACATAATAATTCCGATACACAGAATTCAAAGGAATAAAAAGTTTTGGGGTGATGATGCTGAACAGTTCAGACCTGATAGATTTGAGAAAGAGAATTTAGAAAAAATTCATCCATATGCATTCATTCCATTCACAAAGGGTTCGAGAATGTGCCTCGGGTACCGATATGCAATGACTTTGATGAAAATTCAGCTTTCAAACTTTCTATTGCGTTATGAAGTTGACACGACTTTGAAGTTTGAAGAACTAGAGTATGAGTTGAATACGACTATGAATATATGTCAGGGATATATGATTAGTATTAAGAAGAGGGAGTTATAAGTTTTAACAATATTGTTAAATTAATAATTGAAATTAGGACTTAAAGTTGAAATTAGAAGCTTTTATATAGGAGTTAAGACAGTGGAAAATGAGAATGAAAAACCATTAAAAATTCATTAAATTGTAATTTTTTTTTTATGTTGTTCAATGTTTTATAAATGGTTTAAATGGCAGGGACGTAGATAGCAATGTTTTAAAGAAGCTAGTGATGTATGAGTGAATCCATCAGTGGTAACACAATCAAACAAAAATTTTAAAAATCTTTTAAGACGTGGGTTCGATTCCTACATGAGGGCGATTACTCAAAGTTTCTGAGTACTTGAAGATCCGCCCTCCCATTCCAAAACTTTAATACTCATAATTTTTCCAGCGTCGTTTGGATGAACCGAGTGACTATGCACAACGACAACGCTTTAGTTTGTTTAAGGGACCCTTCACTTATGACGTCCATCAAAAACAAAACCCACTCATCCTTCTGTCACAGATGTCAATACCCCCCCCCCCCCCCCCCCCCCCCCCCTCCCCCCCTCCTTGTGACGTCTAATCACAAATGATGTCATAAATTTACGGACCCTCTCCCTCGCCTGTCACAATGTGTCACAAATTTTTAAACCCCCTCCTCCCTAAATGTTGGACGTCAAAAGTGAACAACCTCTAATAAGAGCTGAATCTTATTAAAAAACCTGTCTAAAAAGTACTTACAAGAAACGTGTCAAGATAATAGCAACCGATAAAGTAATTTGAAATTCCGATAGGTTACATTTTTGGATACACATGCGTGACTTTTGTTTTACAATTTTAAATTACATTCTTAATAATTATTCTGTAACTTGAAAGGTCGTTCATAAATGATGTTGATTTGTTTTTTGAACAAAATAAGGGGGAAAGAAAAAGCTTAAAATGACCTAAGAACGGAAGAATAAGCGACAATTATTGTTGGACATCATTTATGATGCACTCCATTTATCAAACATTTTGCACCTTTTTATGATTTATTTATTGTAATCCAATTTAAAATAATAAAATTCATCTCAAATCATTTTTATTAAATATATTCCAGTTTAATTCTTCCTGGACCTTCCCTTAATTGAATTAAAAAACTCGTTTATAACAAAATCTTAGCCAGTTTTGGGTGGAAATTACAGATTTAAGTCACGTGATGAGACTCTTGGTAATAAGTCAGTCAGTATTTAACATTTGAGTAAAGAAGCAGCAATCATGGTTGTCGCAGAAGTTTTCGTCTTTATCGTCACTTTCTTGATAATAAATTATTTTTGGAAGCAAAGGAGATTCCTTTATTTAGCATCTAAAATCCCCAAAAGTAATTTTGACTTTTCATTGAGTGGAATTTTAAAATTATTCACGGCTGATTCAAAAGAATTATTCGAGATGAGCTATGAAAGCTTTAAAAACTCCATTGGAACTGTAAAAACTTGGATGGGACCAGTTTTGTTAATAATTGTTGGAAATCCAGAAGATGCTAAAATTGTACTCACTTCCAAAGATTGCATTGAGAAGCCAAACTTCATGAAATTTTTTGGTGCACCTGAAAGTATTTTATTTGGTGACTACGGACCGTGGCATGCACATAGAAAAATCTTAAATCCATACTTTAATGCACAAGGTGTTAAGGCACTCATACCATTGTTCAATAAGAAAACGAGAATTTTTATGGACGTTGTAAAGGAAATGGAAGGGAAAGAGGAATTTAATATTTTTTATTACTTGACATCGCTGGCTTTAGAGACGATCACAAAAGTTATGGATTTTGATGTAAATATTTTGAATTTGGAGAAGGTGGAGCGAGAGGGGTACATACATAATTTGAGAGAGTGAGTATTGAAGTATTAGAAACATAAGTGAAGCAAAATACCAAATATCCTGTTCAGCATAGAATTATAGTTTAAGTTGACATTCTGCTAAAGTTCTTAGTAACATCCAGTAGCTCAGTGATTAAAGTATATAATCTTGAATCGTATGAATGATGGGTTCAATTCCCAATCAAATTTACTTCAAACTTAAGCTCTTTAAGCATCAAAGTCAACTTCTAAGAGCAACTTTTAATTTTCCAGGTTCTTCAAAGCAGTTTCCCTGAGAATTTTTAAGACATGGCTGCATCCAGAAATCATCTACCAAAAGACACAAACCTTTAAGGACGAACAAGGAGCAATGAACAAAAGTGCGATGAAATTTACTCGCGAAATCATAAATAATGCTAGAAAAAAAATTAATGACGTTGAAAATAACAACTTTAGTCATCTTAATAATAACAATAACTATGCTGATGCCAAAGAATGTGTCCAGAAGAATTTTATGAATGACCTTATTAACAATAAACTGGAAGATAAAGAAATATTTGATGAAGTTAAAACTATTTTGGTTGCGGTAAGTTAATGTTGATTTATAAATTTTAAGAAAATTCAAGTCAAACTCTGAGATTGAGGTAGCTAGATCCTAAAGGTTGCTCTTAAGAGTAGCTAGGAACAAAAATAGCTAGTTTGATCCTAATGGATGGTAGTAAGATTCAAAGGATAGCTAGTAAGATCCTAAGGGTAGCTACTAAGATCTTAAGATTAGCTATAAGCTTTTATAAGTAGCTTTAAGGTTTAAAAGGGTAGCTCCTTAAGTTAAAAGGTAGCTACTTGGGTTAAAGCGTAGCTAGTAAATTTCAAAGCGTCAAAAAGTAGCTTCAAACTGAATCCTTTTTATATCTAGTCAATTGTATCACAAAATACCTCAAACTTACTTTTTAATTGAATTAAAAGTTAATTTTTTGACTCCATCTAGGCACAAGATACAACAGCGAATTCCTCATCATCTGTTCTCCTCCTTCTCGCAATGCACAAAGACATCCAAGACAAAGTTGTTGCTGAACTTCATCAAATCTTTGGAAAATCTCTTGACGCTCCATTTATCGACCAGGAACAACTAAATCAACTTCAATACATGGATCTTGTCATTAATGAAGCAATGAGGCTCATGCCAGTTGTTCCAATAGTGTTTCGGAAAGTCAACAATGAAGTCACTCTTAGTGATGGCTGCATACTTCCAAAAGGCGGAAATATTATCATTCCAATTTATAAAATTCATCATAGTAAGGACATTTGGGGTAATGATGCTGAACAATTCAGACCTGACAGATTTGAGAAAGAGAATTTAGAAAAAATCCATCCATATGCATTCATGCCGTTCACAAAAGGACCAAGGATGTGCCTTGGATATCGATATGCAATGACTTTGATGAAAATTCAACTTGTAAATTTTTTGATGCGATATGAAGTTGACACGAGCCTTAAGTTTGAGGAATTAGAGTATGAGTTGAATACAACATTGAACGTTTGTCAAGGCTACATGATAAGCATCAAAAAGCGACAGACGTAGTTGATTTGTGTATTGAGTTTTTTTGGAAATAAAAGAAAAATAATTAATATGATTTAGCAGTTTTTGAAGTAGTTCAATGCACAACAAAAGTCTAAACCTCACCTATTTATTGTCTAGATAATTGTATTGCCGTCTAGAAAACTCACGAAGTTCATCATTTTCTAGAATAAATATTTTTAGATACATCGCGTGACAAGCTCACACTTTTGTTTTTTATTTTGAGACTCTACAGAAGCGTATTCTAAAAGAAGTAAGGTTGAAAAATGCTACTAAGGACATAAATCTCATGCACGAGTTCGAGATTTTTCTATGCAGCTTTTTAATTGCATTAAAATTGGGATTTTTTTAAGATTTTTCAGATTTTTCAACATAAAAATTGTCATTAAGTTTTCAACCCCTGCCGCGATGTTAAGATTCAAGATAAAAGCAACTAACAGAAAGTCAGTAAGAAATAAGAAGAAAGTCAACGAAAATTAAAAATCTAGGTCAATTTTTGTCAATTAGTGATTGAAAATGAAGCCGAACGGTTCTTAAAAAATTAAATGAAATTAAATTATTTAATTTTTCTATCATTTTTGAAGCTTTGTGAAAATTCTCTAAGCCCAATAAAAGTCGATGTAAATATTTCAATAATTTCTCGAGTACTTCACGACTTTGTGGATGAATTTTTCATCAAAGAAAAAATTGAATTTAATGTGCTTTTTATCCATCAAAGTCAATTGTCTGAGATTCAATTGAAAATTTTGGAAGATTTTTTCTCTAAAAATGAAGAAAAATTCAAAATTCGAATCCAGTTTTTTAGAATTCCTCAAGAATTTCACGTTAATCGCGCAACAATTTTTTTCCTAAATGGATTAGAAAACTTTTTAATTTTGGATCATGAAATCACTATTTTTCGTCACGGCAACCAGCCACTTAAGTTTGTAATTTTTGATCCAAATTTGACATTTTCTCAACTTGAGTCACATGAACTGATCAAACAACATGAAGAGCTTACAGTTTTTTCAATCGCAGTATTTCATAATTCATACTTCATCACTAATGACAATGAAGACACAGTCAGCTTGTCAACAGTCGAGTGGTTCAGTCCAACAACATGCAATCGTGCACACTTATCAAGATTGAACACTTTTAATAAAAAATCAATGAAATGGACATCAAAACTTCAAAATTATGAGAAATTTTTACAATATCATGGATGTGAATTGGTTTTGATGTTGCCGATTGTGACTGGACATGAGATCTTATATCCCTCAGGATTCGCTAGAGTTCATCCAAATTTAATTGATTTTAAAACTGAAGGATTGACTCCAGTTATTTTTAATGCTGCGACTAAATTAAATAACTTTACAGATGCCTATCAACCTGTCGTTCTTAAGCGATACATGTCGTACTATATCATTCAAAAGTTCACCGAAATAATTTCAATTAATAGAACCTACAAAAGACCAAATGTATTTTTGATAGTTGACACTATAAACACCGGAGATAACTTTATGAGAATGTCAAATGTTTTTGTGGATTTAAACTATTACTTTATGTCAACTCCAGCTGAAGCTTATTCACCATACGAGAAATTATTCTTACCTTTTGATATTGAAACTTGGATTTTTCTTGGCTCCACTTTTTTAATTGCATTTTTGATAATTTTTATTATCAATCAATTCTCAATGCCCATTCAGGAGCTCTTCTATGGCAAAAGCGTTAAAACTCCATTTTGGAATGTCATTCGAATATTTTTTGGAATTTCACAAACAAAATTGCCAATTAAGACATTTTCACGGTTGCTTTTGCTACTTTTTCTCTTCTTCTGCTTGATTTTCCGGACATGTTATCAGAACAAGCTGTTTGAGTTCATGACTAGTGAACCGAGGAGATCACCACCATTAGCGATATCGGATTTGATTGATAGGAACTATAATGTCTTTACAGTGTCGATTAATGATATAATTATGAATGTTAAGGATAGGAATAATAGAAGGTAATTATAAGTATGTTCCCCCGTTAAGTATGATGAAAATAATCTGATTAAGCATTAGGTTGCTCAAAAAACTGGTCCCAAACCCACCATGTCACATTTAACAGGGTTTTCCCATGCCTAGTTATCGTCTTAACTCGTCTCCTAAATAATGTCTCATATTGTTGCGTCCTCTCAATTCCTGTAAGATCCTGTCATGTGCTGTCATGTTCTTTAACGTCTACTCATGCACTATTACGTCCTGTCATGTACTATTATGTTCTATCATGTGTTGTTACGTCTTGTATTTGTGAGGTCAAGTTTAATAGCGCAACTAAAGTAAGCCTTAATTTCCTTTCATCCCCACATTCTCCCTGAAAACATCGCATAATTGACATATGCATCCTAATCCAAATAATCTTAATTTTAAATTTTTTTTGCAGGTTAACAGTCTCCAACATTACTTTAGCTCACTATTATGACATCTTTGACAACCAATCACAGAATGCATCAGCAAAGATCGCTTTATGTGTCGATGAATTCTTTGTTAATCATCATGTAAACTTAAGTAGACAAAGTTATAACTGGCATCAACTTAAAGATGTCTTGTACACATCGCATGAAGCTCTTGTCTTTAAACAAACTGCATTTTATTTTCGAATGTTTAAGAAACTTGTCGACATGCTGATTGACTCTGGAATAATGAATTATTATACCGAAAATTATTATACAAAAAAAATTAAGCTAGAAGCATTCCAAAGTTTACCGAAAGTATTGCTTGTAAATGATTTAAGTTTTGGATTTAACATTTGGCTTGGATTCTGCTGTTTATCTGTTGGAATCTTTTCGGTTGAAATTTTGATTAAAAAAGTCAAAAGTAGATATAATAGCAGCAACAAAATTGATCCTAAAACAACCTCAAATGAAGATCAAAATAATCTCAAAAGAAAAGAATTAAAATCAGGAATTAATGATGATGCAGATCAATTTGAGCAACAAGAGATTGAACAAGAGTTGACCTTGGATGAAGTTATAGATGAAATACTAGCAATTGATATGGATAATACTTAATTTGAAATCAAAGAATAATTTTAACTCTTGAATGACAGCTGTGCGTATCTGAATGAACAATCTGTTACGGTTAGCAAGTGCCTCGTCCAAAATTCACTGTCTAATCACCACAACAGCAATAGTCTGATGTTATGATTCTCATGATTCGATCGGCACACATTGAAATTCATTGAAATGTATTTAATAGCCAGAGCACGATGTCGACAATGTTGAGGTTGACTCAAATTGACTCGATACAAAATGAATCAAATTCGAGTCGATCAAAGCTGTTTGAGCTTATATGAAGTCGTTTTAAGTTTTTTCAGTCAAATCTAGATCGACTAGACGTGAAGTCGAATCGAAATTATTTGAAAATGAAGACCCAGCTCGACTTCAAGCTCTGTTTAAATAGCATGATGCAATATACTTTAGTGATGAGAATTTTAGAATCTTATTGTTTGTAAACGTCATAAGTAATGTTCCCTAACAATATTAAATTCTTGATTGTTAATTAATTATCTAAGCTCCACAAAATCATATACGTCAACTTGAATTTATTCTAAAACTTATGAGACTAAGCAAAGAGAGTCAAAAAATAATAATTTAATTCACCGAAAACCTACATTATGGATTTATGTTGAATAAATTTAAACTTTTTATATTTCATAAATTTCTGTTTTTTCAACTTAGTTATTTTTTACAACTTCACGTAACAAGTTCTAAGTCTCAAGATGATAGTTCTTGAAATTTTAATTTTTACCATTTTATTTTGGATCATCAAATATTTTTGGGACCACAGAAGATTCTATTATCTTGCGTCTAAGATTCCAACAAGTGCTTTTGACTTTTCATTCAGTGGAATTTACAACTATTTAACAGCAGATCCAAAAATGATGTTAAAGCTTGTCAATGGAAGTTTTGATAATAAAAGTGACATTGCTAAGACATGGCTTGGTCATGTTTTGTTCATAATTGCAAATAATCCAGATGATATAAAGACAATCTTTAATGCTAAGCAGTGCTATGATAAACCAAGTTTTATTAAGTTTTCCGCCAAAATGGAGAAAGGATCATTATTTGGGGAACTAGAATATTGGCGGTCACATCGAAAAGTTATGAATCCATTTTTTGGATATCAAGGATTGAAGGCAGTAATTCCAATTTTTAATGAAAAGACTAAAATATTGATGAAAAGCCTTGAATGTATGGTAGACAAGGAAGCATTCAATATTTTTCATAACATGACAGCTTTGACTTTGGAAACAATTTTGAAAGTCATGGAATATGATGTGGATATACAGAATCAAGAAGCCAAGAGTCGAGATGTGTTTATCAAGAATTTAGAAAAGTGAGTTTTGGTTATGTTAATTATGTAAGCAGAAGTAGGTTGGCGCTGCAGTAGATTAGGTATCTAGAAGATTGTGACTCTAATTTAAGGAGTCCGGGTTCGAAACTCGGTTATTTACTGTGTCACTATTTGAACTACGAGTCTTTAGGATAACAAGTCATTGCTTCGTTCCAAAACCTAATTTTATTTAATTATTTCTTATTCCACAGCTTCGCAAAAGTAGCATTCTTAAGGATGTTCAAACCCTGGCTTCACCCAAACATCATCTTCAAAAATTCAAAACTCTACAAAGTTCAACAACAATCGATGTCTAACTGCGCAATGGTCTTCACAAATGACATAATTGAGAATATCCGTACGAATACAAACAACAATGAAGATGAGAAGTCCAAAAGTTTTATGGAGGCTATGCTGAACCCAAAAAATAACTTTACAGACAATGAAATTAAGCATGAAGTGCATTCAGTTGTGCTGGCTGCTCAAGACACATCAGCAATTGCATCATCGATGATGCTTTTGTTGCTTGCGATTTATAAGGATGTTCAGCAAAAAGTTGTTGACGAACTGCATCAAGTTTTCGGAAAAAAACGAGACACTCCATACATTGAATTTGAAAATGTGAATGAACTTGTTTACCTTGAAATGGTAATTAATGAAGTCATGAGACTCTACCCAGTGGTTCCATTCATCGTTAGACAAGTCGATGAAGAAATAGTCCTTGGCGATAAATATAGAATTCCAGTAAAGGCAACAGTTGTTGTTCCAATCAGCAGAATCCACAAGAATAAGAAGTACTGGGGCGATGATGCAGAAGAATTTAATCCAGAAAGGTTCAGCAAAGAAAATTTCGCCAAAATTCATCCTTACGCTTATATACCTTTTGCAAAAGGTCCACGCATGTGCCTTGGCTATCGATATGCAATGATGTTGATGAAGATTCAGCTTGCCAACTTTCTGATGCGTTATGAAGTTGATACGGATTTAAAGCTTGATGAATTGGAGTTTGGTGTTCAAGTGACGATGACTGTGTGTCAGGGATATATGATTAAGATTAAGGATAGGAAATATTGAGAATTTGTTTTTGGAGGAAGGAGGGCAGGGAGGAGGCAGTGAACGTTCCCTCATCAATATAAGCAGTCTAGCTTTTAAAGTTTAAGTCATTCCATGAAGTTAATAGTAAAACCTCCCAAAAAAATGCGTAAAATCATCAAATAAAGAAAAATTTCCATGAAGGACAAATTTGTTGAAATCATAAGATACCTTTTCAGACCAACCTCAAATATTTTTTTTTAAATCTTCATCCACATTAAATTTAATGGATCTCACAAGATGATGAAGAAAAAAAGAGACACGAGTTAAATTGGAACCCCAAAAAATGGTTTTAAGGGTGCAGAAAAAAAATTTTAATGAAATTTAATGATATTGAAATTTCTTGAACTAAACAAGATTTGCTGTGAGCACGTGAAAGCAATAACAAGACAAGGACAACGTAAACCCATTTACTGACGGAATCAAATGAAACAATGAAAATTTCAGAAGTAAGCAAAAAGGTTTTTGTTTTTCGTTCCGGTAATAAGAAGTTCATGAATATTTGATAGCACATGCATATGCCTCAACTAGCGCCACCCTTTCCTTCCTAAAACATACAAACAATATTATTCTTTGAATTTGGGTTACTTCCATCTTAAAAATTATTCCTGTTTCAATTTTTAAACCTTTTGTCAAAACTTTTTAATTCCTTTTCATGTTTTGTGTTTATTCTTTGGGGTTTGTTTAGCGATGACGTCTAATGACTAAAGGGCTGTTCTCTTCAAGAGCCGTTCACTTATGACGTCAAGGGGAGGGGGGTCAACAAGAAAAGAACAATAAAAATTCCTGGAAATCCATTGTTCTGTTTTGAAAAACGACCTGTAATTTCGGACGTCATAAGTGAACGGTCACTTATTAAGTTACGCAAAAAAATTGTTTTTTTTTTTGACAAATTTTCATTGTTTCAATTGTTTGAGTTGCCAATAACCTCCCCTAAAAGCGTTACTTAATAAGTGAACAGCCCCAAAACAAGCCTCTTAGATTCTGAAAATCAAATTTCAAAAAGACCTAATTTATAAACGATCCCAAAACATTTTTTATATACTTTTTTATTTAAGTTCCGATTTTGTGGAATAAAAAAGTTTTTCAAAAAAAAAAAGAAAGAAGAACAATATGTTTAAATATGAGCTTACACATGCACACGTATACGTGGGTGTATAATTTTGTATACAGGAAGATAGAAGAGATTTGAAGTTTGAGACAATTTTGTAACAATAAATAAAAAGTTTTCTTTTTCATCTTTTGATTCCTTTTGCTGTTTGCTGAATTAAAGTTTTCGATGAAAAATATTTTGTAGCAATTTTTTAAAAATAAAATGTTTTATTGGATATCATTTTGATGAGTTGTTGCCAGAGCTCAAGTCGACTCAAAATTTCATCGAATTCGAGCTCTAGTTGTGGCTTTAGGTGTGTCTATAAATTATTTTTCAAATAAGATTGATTTTCTTTTAACAAGTTTTGTAGGATTGCAGATCAGGTATGAGCAAGCTTTGCTTAAAAACCCTCTTTGAAGCTCCTTGACTTCCCAAGTCTGGTATCTTGCAGGATGGCGGAACTAATAAATTTCATTTTGATCATTTTTGAACATTTTATCAGCTCCGCCTCTTTGGTATCTTGCTCTCTTGCACTCAGGAGTATAAAAATGAAATAGTTGTCACCAAGGTCAAGATAGCTAGCTTGAGATCTCTCCCCAAAAATCTGCATTAAACTTGTTACAGACTGATGATGCATGTTTGTATAGATGCTGACTAGAACAGCGAAAAAGCAGCTAAATCCGACTGAGCATTCCCTGGAATCGAACCTGAATCATTAGTGTTGGTTGGTCAACACTCTAACGACCATGCGACAGCTGCTTTTTCTAAGTGTGTCTTAATATAGCCAAATGCACCTAATATCCTCTCATTCCTTACTTGTCATTTTTCCAAGAAAAAAATCCCTTTTCTTACTCTTTTCTCCGTAAAACCTTTCAAAAAAATTGAGAAACAACAAAATAAGTGTTGATGTTAAAGTTAAAGGTATGAAGAAACAGAATGAATTATTATCACAACTCGAAAAAATTTTTTAACAAGTTTTGAAATGTAAAAGATGAAAAATACGCTTTCCGTGCCGTTAAAAAAGAGGCAATCATTCAAAGGTCATGATAAAAGAGGTGCTGTTAAAGATGAGAAGAGCATTTGATAGCAAGTGTTCAGAACTCACTCTGAGAATTAATTTTCTGGTATGTCAATGTGTGAGATTTGAGAGGGAATTGTGGTTTTAAAGATCAGAATGTAGCTAGTCAAAGAATTCTTTGAATTGACCTCTTAATGACTTTCAAACTAAATCATATTCCAAAACTACAAAGTTACAATTTCCATAGCTCAAAACTACCACAAACTTAAAACAAAAATTCCAATTTCTCAAAACTTAACTTAATCATTTTCCTTACAAAGTCCTCAAAAGAAAATTTTCTCATGACATTTTTACTGACAGCAATTCTCATTCACCATTTGATGCTTATAAATTAATAAACTTTCCAATTTTTTTTTCGTTCTCTCTTTATTCTTTTGAAAATTATTCTCTATTGAACACAAAGAAAACTTTTCATTGACGAACTTTTATTTTACTTTTAGTTCCACAAAGGAGGAATAAAAATTCAATAGAATTCGCCATACAGGAGAAACTTTCAAAGTAAAATAACCGTAAACTTATTTTTAATTCTCATAAATATGTTGTTTCTTCTTTATTGGAGCGTAATTGTATAGTCATGGTGGGATTTTGGTGTTACATTGTCTTATTACTCAAGGACGGAGCCAAGTGGGAGGTCCAATTGAGTCCAGTTTTTCTGTGTCAATCCGAGTGGTTAGTGGTGTAGAACTTACTTGGTATGGTGTAGGAATATAGAGGAAACTAATTTTAATAACCTTAGTAAAAGGAGCCTAGCAAGCATAAGCATAACAAGACTTACATCACACAAGAAACTATTATTTTAATTTTGTTGAGCTCATAAACAATGCTATCTTTGCAAGCTTGAGTTCGTTTGTTTGATCTAAGCACTCCTTATTGTAGCTGTGAAGATCCTTACGCAAGCGCCATCTATAATGTATGGTTTGCATCCTCTAATACGTGACCATTGTGCGAATCTATGTCGTATCGATAAGACTCCATAAAGTGAAAGAGAGATTAGTACATGGTGGGAATCGTACCCATGTCCTCAAAATAGGATTACAGATTCAGGTCTGTTGCCTAACCACTCGCGGCACAAAAGCATAACTCTCGCACGTGTAGATTCGCGTATATATGGCTCGAAGCCTCAGATTCACTTTTGCTTCCTCCATCGTATGATTCCTAACTTGCCAATTTACTTCACATCCTATACACATTTGCTGGTACATCTACCAATAAAACTATCATAAATAATTAATAATAATAGAAAATTGTGTAAAAGAAAGAAACTAGTTGAGGTAAATGAGAGCCCACTTAAAGGCAATTGAGGACGAAGAAAAAGAAAAAAGCTTCAAACTTTTTCTCCTTTCAGCATTGTACTTTCATTGGCATGGCTAGAGCAATACGTGTACATGTATGAAATATTAAATGAAAATGTGTATGAAGAAAACTAATTTAATAAATGATGAAAGTTTTTCATGTGAAGAGCGGCTGCTGCTTGCTACTTTTTCTTCTTTCACACTATGTATGTGATTGTACACATCTAGTGTATAGAAGTGGATATGAAGAATAGAAGAAATGGCACTTTGAGGAAAGGAGAAATTTATTTTATGAGTGAAACTTTAAGAAGAAGTCGCAATGGGAAATTTGTTTTTGGATGTTTGTTGTGAATGAGGGATTTAGACGCATTTATTGGTGCTTTTAGTAGGATTTAGTGATGTTGTGGAAGAAATTGTTGGTTGGAAAAGCTGTAAAGTTGCCATTTGTTCATCGAAATTGCTATAAAATGACAGATTCAAATCGAAACTGCTATAAAATGACAGACTTCGATCAAAACTGTTATAAAATGGCAGATTTTAATCAAAACTGCTATAAAATGACAGATTTAACTCAAAACTGTTATAAAATGGTAGATTTAGATCAAAACTGCTACAAAATGATAGATTCACATCGAAACTGCTATAAAATGACAGCTTCACATCGAAACTGCTATAAAATGACAGATTTTAATCAAAACTGCTATAAAATGGCAGATTAGATCAAAACTGCTATAAAATGACAGATTCACATCGAAACTGCTATAAAATGACAGATTTTAATCGAAACTGCTATAAAATGGTAGATTTAGAACAAAACTGCTATAAAATTACAGATTTAGATCAAAACTGTTATGAAATGGCAGGTTTAGATCAAAACTGCTGTAAAATGACAGATTCACATCGAAACTGCTATAAAATGAAGAATTCAGATAAAAACTGCTATAAATAGACAGTTTATGACTCAAATTTCTTCATCAATTCCAATTTAACCAACCAGACCAACCAAAAGTATCAACACAACTTCTCTCCTTCTAGCGAACACTTGAGCATGAAGAAAAACTTATTTATAGATTTATAGCCAAAGTCTCAATGTTCCTCCCCTGTGTCGATAAAAATTGTGACATGAAACATTTAATGAGGAAGTAAAAAAATAAACTTTACATTGACTTACAACTTCGAAGTCATTTCCTTGCATAAATTCAAGGCGATGAAAAAATTTCTTAAAAAAAAATAATAATTCCAACACCCCCTTGAACCTATGCAAATTGTGGGGAATCTCATTAATTTCGTCGATCATTTTGAATATGTACAAGCAGTCAACAAGGAACATGTTGTGCTTTCTAATTTTTTCCCATCAAAGATCAAAGAATTTCAATGTGCTGTTAAAAGTTAAATTCAATTTTAAAGAATTAGGATCGTATTCAATAAAATAAAGAGTCTCTGAACTTCTTGGAAGGTTGAGACATTAAAATTGGATTATGTCTGTTAACTGTGATGTCAACGATCTGGCTCCACACTCGGACATTAAATAAATATTTCTATCAAAAATCGTTTCCATTTGTTGTTATTGTTGTCGAGGAAAGGAACCAAAAATAAAGAAAATGAGCACTAACAATGTATGTTGAGGGTCGATTGATGTTTTTTGATGCTAGATTTCAAGTTGTCGGTCAATATGTTGACAATTTTTTGAGGTATTTTATGGACAGTTCTGTAGAAAATGTTGAAATGTTGCTTTAAGGGTGATGAACTTGCTGGAATTTATTATCAAAGTTGTCCATCGTAAATTTGAATTTTTTATAATTTATTCGATGAAATTTCAAAAAATGGAGCTGAATAGAATTGTTTTTTGTGGTTTCTTACGCACTAAGATGGACCAAAGAAAGCTTGGGACTAAGTGTCACATTTAATATCAATCTAATCAAGCTTGGCGTCAGCCTAGGTCATTTTTTAAATCTACAATATTTTATGCACCTCAGCTATAATTTTGAACATACCACATGTATATTATTGATCCAAAAGCTTCACATGCTGACTAGTTCTAAAATAAATCATCAATTTTAATTTAATAATCCTTCCTTCTCCGAATCCATACTTAAATTCACACTAATAAAGACATGACACCCCTCCATCCCAAAAATCATAATATTCAATCCATAAAATTTCATCTCAAGCAGCATTAAATCTTAAAATCTTCATCGTTAAGGTGTGAAGCCTCTCACCATGACACCTCAAAATCAATCAAACATTTAAACATGTTGAAAACCAATCTGCATACATTAAAGTCATACACAACGCCAGATATCTAACTGAGTTATGCCAAAAATATTCTCTACTCTTTATTCATGCTTAACCCTTATCAAATTTCATTTCCTTAACCATATCACTATCATAAAGTGAATAAATTCTTGTTTATCATCAAAAATTCCTTGAATGAAAAATATAAAGCACGTGGGTAGGTGTTTATGAAAAGAACCTGTTACATGAATCAATTTTGTTTGTCACTCGGTGAACGATTCTTTTTAATATCGAGATATTTGACTGGGAGAAGGAAAAGGTAAAATAAGAATTTTTTTTATATTTTATAAAATTTATGAATTGATGAATAAGTTGTCAAGATACAGACAGAAATTTTATTAAAGATTGAACGTAGATTGAAATTTTAAGCTGAAATTCTAAAACACGGCGAGTCTATACTTCTTTAAATGGTGGTTTTTAGGAACTCTTTCAACTAGCTTGGATGATCTAGGCCCATGAAAGTGTAAAACAAGATAGAATAGAATGTCTAGCTCCATATGTTCATTGAAACTAAACCTTATTGCTCAACCCTAAGCAGAGCTCGAAGTCGATAGGGTTTGAGTCGGTTCGAGTTGACTCGAGTCGACTTGGATTTTTATAGTCGACTCAACTTTAAGTCGACTTTGAGTCAACTCGTTAATTTGTTTTTGTATGAAGAAGTTGACTTGAGTCGCATCAAGTCGAGTTGACTCGAAATACCCCTCGAGCTCTGACCCTATGGCAATGAGGCTACTTAATTGTACAATGGCACTAAAGGAGATTAATGATGATCTGCGTCTAGGGTGTGGATCTTTTTATCAATGTCGATCATTTCAAATTTAATTAATTATTTCTGATTATTTTGAATATTTCAATTAGCTCCACACCCTTGATTCAGGTGTCAAAAAGTATCTAAAATTCTCCAATGTCTCATTCTAAGCGACTAAAATCTTGAGGCTGGTACTGAAGCTTAATTACATCTTTACAGTCAATAGTAGATTTTTGATGGACATTATTTATTAGTGATATTATTAAATTTTGCTATGACTTTAATTATTAATTCGTGGAAAATTCAAAAATAACAATTTTCACACCTCAAGCCATCAAAACTTTCAAAAACGGAATTTCTAGCAAATCAAAAGAAATTTCCAGCATGTCTAAACATTAAGCCAAACGTAATTTTGATGAAATATGAAAGTCAATCGCACACATAGAATAAAATCAAATAAATGAAATTGGTGAAGAATGTTCATGACAGGAAATTAAGATGCCAATAAGCAGTTCCTTCACACATCACATTCACATTTCATTCCAATTCTTGTCTTTATATTACACATCAATAAGAATCTCATGATATGTTCACGCATACTTGACACACTTGAAGATTCTTATCTCAATATATTTTACCACCTTCTGTTGTCTGCCGATGGTGCTGTTCATTCAATTGAATACGCGTGTAGATCCAGCACACAAGAAAAAATTACCTTTCACAAACCCCACTCCATAAGAATTTCATCAAACAATTGCTCATCATGTCGCATTCTTCTCAATTTTGTGTGCCTTACAAAAATTCTTTTTTTTTCTACTTTCGCTGCTGTTGCTGCTTTTTTTCTTCTTTTACCAAAAAAAGTATGTGATATGAATATTTATCATTTATTTTCATCCACTTCACCCCCCTCCAACTCCCTGCCATAACATTCATTCATGCAGAGTTCATACAAACATTCATTTGCTATAGGAAACGTAAGAATCATAAGAACGTGTTGTTTGCTATATTCTGTACTGAATGTGTTTTGTTATTTCCCATATCTCATTTTACCAACTTCCTTCTTCATTTCTTCCTCATAAGTGTTTATGTGTATTTGTGGTTGCTGTGGATTTATCATGCAAAAATTGCTTACCGAAGGATATCAACTCTTATGTCTCAAATTATTATTTAAATTACTGTTGTCCAAACTGTGTGCCGCGGTAATTTTTTTCGAAATAGCACGAACCGCATGTTGTGTACGACTTCGTTCATGGCTTACTTCTAAGGTGTGCTGTGGCTCAAGAAGTTTGAACAACATTGATTTAAATGAATGCTTGAGAGATTCGTTGTTGTCCCTTGTATTTAAAATGGCACATTAAAGTCCGCTGATTGCTATTAAGATGAGGAACTTGAGGGGTTTGGAGTCATTATTCTTAAGTCAAGTTCTTTAATTTAATAATAATGTGAGAGGGTTCCAGCCAAGCGATGAGTTACTACACGTTGCAACAAACTAGAGGCACTGCTATCGTGATCTTTAGTTTAATGGTTTAAAAATCTAAATCACCCCTCGAGAATATAGCTTGCTACTCACGTGCAACCGCTATTAAGGCACTGTCCAACTGACCTTATCAGCACAAACAAATTGAACCATAATAAAAGAGATAAAGCACAAATTATTTAATTACTTATAGACAATGACCTCTTTACATGCGAAACAAATTTTACGACAGCTGATAATAATAAAGACATAATCGTTTTCACTACGCATACATTGAACTGTATAATCATCTCATTGAAATTAATTTGCGGCACTCGAATGATGAACAATTATTTTATTTTTTTCTAAAATATGAGACAGTTGCTTGTTGAGCATCGACTAGACAACAAAGATTTAAAATAACAAAAAATACAATTTCTTACATTAAGCTACTATAAAATCAAGAACCTTAAAACTATGTCGAAACCATCATTTGATCCAGTCAACAAAATCTGGCATGGACCAAAAGTTCCACCAATATACAATCCCGATCAGAACCTTGGACAACTAATTCTTAAAATCTTGCAGCAAACTCCAGACTCAGTGACTCAAATCTCAGCAGACACAAATGTGTCAGTGACTTGTCAGCAAATGTACGATCGATCCATAAAGATTGCAAAATATTTGACAAAATGTGGAATAAAGGAAGGCGAATTAATTGGAATTGTTGCTACAAATTCTGAAAATCTTGCACCAATCGTCTTTGCAAGTTTCACATTGGGACTTCCAATCAATCCATTATCACCGATCATGAATGAAAAAGACATCATTCAAATGTTTTCAATGACGAAGCCAAAAATGATTTTTTGTGATGCTGAAAATGTGAAAGTTGTGCAAAATGCTGTGGATGAGATGAAAAGTGAGGCAAAAATATTGACTGTCATGGATAAAGTTGATGGATATGAGTGTACAACTGAGATTTTGAAGGATATGGAAGGCCAAAGAACTGATTTTTTTCAGTAAGTCAAAAGTTTTCTCATCATTTAATGATTAAAAAATAATTTTTATCCCCAATAGATTCCCAATAATTGACTCAAATTCAATAGCAGCAATTTTATGTTCATCAGGATCGACTGGATTTCCAAAAGGAGTTTCTAAATCGCATAAGCAAATAATCACGAACTTTCAGCAATTATGGCCATCATCACATCAAGGTGGACCAATTTTCCTTCAAGGTTCTCCGATCTTTTGGCTAAGTGGTTTCTATGCTCTTGTATCTTCGGTATTGTATCACTCCTTAAGAGTATGTTCAGTTATTGCATTTGATCCTCAACAGCTTATTGACACTATTAACAAGTACAAAGTAACCGTTTTTATTGTTCCGCCATTTGTTCTTGTTTCGCTTCTCAAACTTGAGAACTTCAAGCCACTTGAAAGTGTTCAAGTACTTTTTATCGGTGGTTCAGTCATCTCTGAGCAACTTTGCAGAAAATTTAAGCCATTCTTACCAAATGGAAACATTTTAAGTGGCTATGGATGTACTGAACAGGACTTTTTGTCTGTTGATTATGGAAATCTCTATAATGGCAGCTGTGGATATCCATTTTATAATATCGAGTTGAAGGTAATAACCACTAATGCATGCCCATGGTCTGAATTATTAATTTTCATATTTTTATATAAATTTAGATCATCAATGAACATGGAAGTTCTCTTGGAGCTAACGTATCTGGCGAAATTTGTAGTAAAATTGCAGTCCAATTCTCAGGCTATGTTGGACATCCAGAAAAAACGGCAGAATCGTTTGATGGCGATTGGTTTAAAACTGGTGACATTGGACATTTTGATGATGATGGCAATCTTCATATTACTGACAGGAAAAAGGAAATGTTAAGGTACAAAGGCTATCAAGTCACACCATCGGAACTTGAAAAAATAATAAATGAAATTAAAGGAGTCTCAAGCAGTTGTGTTGTTGGAGTTTTGGAACCAGAAACGAGTTTTGACATTATTCACGCTTTTGTCATTTTGGATGAGCATTGTGAACTTACTGCTGACTTTATCCTTGATTATGTAAACTCAAAAGTCATCGACGTTAAAAGAATTCGTGGTGGAGTTCACATTGTTGACTCATTTCCGTTGGGAATGACTGGAAAAGTTGATCGTAAAAAGGTTCAAATTCTAGCAAAACAAATCGAGTCTTTAGGTTGAAAGTTAAGTGCTGTTTTGTTGATATCATGTAATTAAAACTGTCAATTAATAAATAATCTGACTACTCATTCACCTAATAAGGCAGTTATTAGATAAGCGGAATGCCTTATATAGCGATAATCGTGTACTTAATCACTTACTTTTGTTATGTTTTAAAACGTGAACAGCCTTATCAATTGTGTGTGTGAAGATAAACTTATAACTTTATAAACTAAATATTTGTTGATAACTTCTCAGTCTTTTTAAGCTTCTCGACTAGGAAACACTTCAGAAAATTTTACAAATTAATTTGTAGACTTTAAACTTTTAAATTTGTGAAAAATAATGTCAAAACCTACATTCGATCCCATCAATAAAATTTGGAATGGACCAAAAGTTCCACCAGTTTTTAATCCAGATCAAAATATTGGTTATATAATACTCAATATTCTCCAACAAACTCCCGATCTAGTCACTCAAATATCAGCAGACACTGGTGTGTCAGTGACTTGTCAGCAAATGTACGATCGATCCATAAAGATTGCGAAATATTTGACACAATGTGGAATGAAGGAAGGTGACCTAATCGGATTTGTGACCGCTAATACTGAAAATCTTGCTCCTATCGTCTTTGCATGCTTTACGTTGGGACTTCCAATTAATCCACTGTCACCGATCATGAATGTAAAAGACATCGTTCAAATGTTTTCAATGACGAAGCCAAAAATGATTTTTTGTGATGCTGAAAATGTAAAAGTTGTGCAAAATGCTGTGGATGAGATTAAAAGTGAGGCAAAAATATTGACTGTCATGGATAAAGTTGATGGATATGAGTGTACAACTGAGATTTTGAAGGATATGGAAGGCCAAAGAACTGATTTTTTTCAGTAAGTCAAAAGTTTTCTTATCTTTTAATGTTTAAAAAATATTTTTTATCCCCAATAGATTCCCAACAATTGACTCAAATTCAATAGCAGCAATTCTATGTTCATCAGGATCAACAGGATTTCCAAAAGGAGTTTGTAAATCACACAGACAAATACTTTCAGATATCGGTCTATTTCCTTCACGAGGAGAACTCTCAATTTGCTTCCAAGGATCACCTATTTTTTGGTTAAGTGGATTTAGTATCTTAATAAGTGGAACTTTTTCGAAATACATCAGAGTCGTCACCTCAAAACCTTTCACAGCTCAAGATTTTGTCAACATTATCAATAAGTATAGAGTCACAGTAGTTACGATTCCACCATACTTTTTAGTATCACTACTTCAAATTGATAACCTAAAACCACTTGAAAGTATCAAGTTCTTCACTATTGGAGGCGCAATCATATCTGAACAGTTATGTGAAAAATTCAAGCCTTTTATTCCGAACGGATTTTATTTTATGGGATATGGATGTACAGAAGAAGATGGTCTGGCTGTTAATATTACTCAAAAGAAAATGGGAGGTGCTGGGATGGTGTCCAATAATGTTCAGTTAAAAGTAAGTTCAGAATCAGCCTAAAATATTTAAAGCCCGTTCACTTATGACGTCCGACATTTAGGGGGGGGTCTAGGATTTTGTGACAGTTTAAACAATGGAAATTTTTTTCTATAGAATTTTTGTGACGGAGGGGGGGGGGGTCTAAAACTCAGGTTTTTTGATGGACGTCATAAGTGAAGGACCCCTAATCAAATATTCAATTTTCATAATTCTAGATCGTCGACACCAATGGAAGTAGTCTTGGTCCAAACGAAAGCGGAGAAATTTATTCAAAAATTCCAGTTCACTTTTCTGGCTATTTTGGCGATCCAGAGAAAACAGCCGAAGCATTTGATGGCGATTGGTTCAAAACTGGAGACATCGGATACTTTGATGACGATCAGTTCCTCTTTGTCACAGGCAGAACTAAGGAACTTTTAAAGTACAACAACTTTCAAGTAACGCCGTCGGAAATTGAAGAAATTATCAATGAAATTCAAGGTGTCCAAAGCAGTTGTGTCGTTGGAGTTCCTCAATCACATAGTGGTAATGACATCATTCATGCTTATGTGATTCTGGAAGAGTCAAAAAGTCTGTCAGAAGAGTTTATTCTCAAGTATGTAGATAACAAAGTCATTGACCCGAAAAAGATTCGCGGAGGTGTGCACATCGTTCAGGAATTCCCTTTGGGAGCTACTGGAAAAGTTGATAGAAAGAAGATCAAAGAAATGGCTCAAAATTTGGTTAAATGATAAGGGGCCGTTCACTTATGACGTGCAGGGGGGGGGGTGGTCAGACAGAAAAGGACAATAGAAATTCCTGGAAATACATTGTTTGTTTTTGAAAAATGACCGTTAATTTCGGTCGTCATAATTGAACGGCCCTTAAGCTCAGAAAAAATGAGTTCAAGTTCAAAAAATTTTAATGACGATAATGCAATTTAGATAAGATAACGAGCAGGAATCACTAGAATATCATAAAATTAAAGATTATTTTTAACCTTAAAAACCCCAAAATATTTTGTATTTTCCATATGTAAGATAATATTAAAGGAACTTAATGCTTGTTTATTTTAATATACATTGAAATCTTAAAAGCTGACAAGTATAATAAAAAGATAAGATTAGTTTGGCGAGAGATTTCTCGACTTTTGTTTTTGTAAATCTGAATGAAAACTTTACAGACCATTAATCCATAAAAGAAACTTGATTATTAAGCACAGCTCTTCCTCTCTCTTTCAAATTGCAAGCTTATCCTGATAAATTTATCAACACAAAGGAAATAAATCAATGTTAATCAATCAGTAAATGTCCACTCCACAATTTCAATTCCAATGAATTTCTTTGACGGGGTAAGTCTGGGACTTACACCTGATAAGAAGTTAAATTTATAACATTTACTTGTTTATCGTTTGTCTTTAAAACGTGAAATTTCTTATCAAGAATTAATGCACAGTTAAGGAGGTATAAATTTTGTGGAAAATTATTTATTTTATTGCATAGTCTCGTTTAGGAAAGACATTAACTGTCTCTTGGTCTTAAAAAATATTTAAGCATCCTATAAAATGTCAAAACCAGCATTCGATCCGGTCAACAAAATTTGGAGTGGTCCAAAGGTTCCACCAATGTATAATCCAGACCAAAACCTCGGTCAACTTATTCTTAAAATCCTTCAGCAAACTCCAGACTCAGTGACTCAAATCTCAGCAGACACTGGTGCATCTGTGACTTGTCAGCAAATGTACGATCGATCCATAAAAATTGCAAAATATTTGACAAAATGTGGAATGAAGAACAGTGACTTAATTGGAATTATGGCTGGAAATTCTGAGAATCTTGCACCAATTGTTTATGCATGCTTTGCATTAGGACTTCCGATCAATCCTTTAGCTCCAGCCATGAATGAAAGCGACATTATTCAGATGTTTTCAATGACGAAGCCAAAAATGATTTTTTGTGATGCTGAAAATGTGAAAGTTGTGCAAAATGCTGTGGATGAGATTAAAAGTGAGGCAAAAATATTGACTGTCATGGATAAAGTTGATGGATATGAGTGTACAACTGAGATTTTGAAGAGCATGCAAGGCGACAGTGTTGATGATTTTGAGTAAGTATAACAAACTTACTGTCAAGCCCCAGAAACTTCTATTATTGCTTTTTCAGATTCCCAATAATCGACTCAAACTCAACAGCAGCAATTCTGTGCTCATCTGGATCAACAGGATCTCCAAAAGGCATCTGCAAATCACACAAGCATATAATTACATCTTTTCAGCAGTTTTGGCCTGTAACATATGGCGAGCCAACAATCTTTCTACAAAATTCAGCAATATTCTGGATTAGTGGCTTCAGTCCTTTAATCCAAGGAGTATTTTTCAGGTTTACAAGAGTATCAGCAGCAAAGCTTTGCAATGCACAGGAACTCATTAGAATTTTCAATATATATAAAATCACTGCCATTATTCTTCCACCTTACATGGTCGTGTCGTTCCTACAAGATGAAAATTTAAAACCATTTGAAAGCATGCGATGTCTGATGATCGGTGGGGCTAAAGTTTCAATGCAACTTTGTGAAAAAATTAAACCTTTCGTACCAAATGGAATTGTTTTAACTGGTTATGCTTGTACAGAAGAAAGCTTTATTGCCATTAATTCTACAGATAAAAATTATGGAAGCTCTGGATTTGTGTTTAACAATAATGAGATAAGGGTAAGTTAAGGCAAGGCGCTAGCTCATTCTATTTCAATAAATAGATCTCAACATTTTCAGATTGTTGACGACAATGGAAACAGCCTCGGACCAAATCAACAAGGCGAAATTTATACAAGAATTCCTATTCAATTCTCAGGCTACATCGGCCATCCAGAAAAAACTGCTGAAGCATTTGATAATGACTGGTTCAAAACAGGTGACATTGGATACTTTGATAATGATCAGTACATCTACATTGTTGATAGGAAGAAGGAGTTGATGAAATTTAATAATTATCAAATAACTCCATGGGAAATTGAAGCAATAATTAATGAAATTGAAGGAATCACGAGCAGTTGTGTTGCTGGAGTTCCTGAACCTAATAGTGGAAATGACATCATCCATGCATTTGTGATTTTGGAAGAGTCAAGCAGTATTACTGAGGATTTTATACTTAAATACGTAAATGATAAAGTTATTGATCCAAAAAGAATCCGAGGAGGTGTTCATGTTGTTAACTCATTTCCTCTGGGAGCCACAGGAAAGGTCGACAGAAGGAAAGTTCAAGAAATGGCTGCAAAACTTAATTAATTTGAATTTTAACGGAATTTTAAAAATTAAATTGTTGCTGACCTCCTTAACATTAAGTTTCCTCGCATAGACATTATATGAGATAACAGACATGGAATTTCATTCATAAACAAAAAGTTTGTTATCAAAGTAAATAAACATCAATGATTTAGTCACGTTTATGAAAAAAATTGTTATCAATGTTTATTAATAAGTTCCAGTTCTAATGATGATAAGTTAATTTCGAGTGTATTTGAATGACATCGAGTGATTAGAACTCGACTCTTTTCAATGATTTTTATTGAAATTTGAATTAGTCTCTTTTAGAAATTCATGATAGAAAGTCGTCTATTAGCAGTAAATTGTTATAGAACTTAAAATCCTAAAGTTCAAATCAAGTTGTCCTCAGAATAAAATGTCAAAAGCTACATTTGATCCAGTCAGCAAAATTTGGCATGGACCAAAAGTTCCATCAATCTACAATCCCGATCAGAACCTTGGTCAACTTATTCTTAAAATCCTTCAGCAAACTCCAGACTCAGTCACTCAAATCTCAGCAGACACTGGTGTGTCAGTGACTTGTCAGCAAATGTACGATCGATCCATAAAATTTGCAAAATATTTGACAAAATGTGGAATGAAGGAAGGTGACTTAATCGGATTTGTGACAGCTAATACTGAAAATCTTGCTCCAATTGTCTTTGCATGTTTCACATTGGGACTTCCTGTTAACCCATTAGCTCCAGTAATGAATGAAAAAGACATCCTTCAAATGTTTTCAATGACGAAGCCGAAAATGATTTTTTGTGATGCTGAAAATGTGAAAATTGTGCAAAATGCTGTGAATTTGATGAAAAGTGAAGCAGCAGTAATGACTGTCATGGATAAAGTTGAAGGTTTTGAGTGTGCGACTGAGATTTTAAAGGAAATGAAAAGTGAAAGTTTTGAAAATATTCAGTATGACTTAATATCTTATTGATTAGCCCAAAATTTTAAACATTTATCATTTCAGGTTCCAATTAATCGATTCAAATTCAACAGCAGCAATTCTATGTTCATCAGGATCGACTGGATTTCCAAAAGGAATCTGCAAGTCTCACAAGCAGTTAATTTCAGATTTTCATCAATTATGGTCAATCAGAAATGGAAAGACACAAATAACATTTCAGGCATCACCAATATTTTGGCTTAGTGGATTTTACATGTTAGTTGCAGCCTCGATTTATCGATGTATAAGAGTCATTACTACACAAACTCTTCACCCAGAAGTGATATTAGATATCTTAAATAAATATAAAGTATCAGTTTTCCTTACACAGCCGTACACACTTGTCGCACTTATGCAACTTAAGCACTTCAAGCCAATTGAGAGCATGCAATGTATGTTTGTAGGTGGATCAGTTATTTCTAGCAAATCATGTGAAGAGTTCAAGCAATTCATACCAAATGGAAAACTTTTCATTTTATATGGCAGCACTGAGGAGAACTTCTTGTCGTTTAATGATTCTGATAAGAATTTTGGAAGTTCTGGCTTTGTGATTAATAATGTTCAATTAAAGGTGATTTAGGGACTGATGTATATATCTTGACTAAAACTAAAACTATGTCTTAAAATTTAACAGATCATTGATGACAATGGAAACTCTTTAGGACTAAATCAGCGTGGAGAAATCCACAGTAAAATTCCAGTGCAATTCTCATGCTATTATGAAGACCCAATCAAGACAAAAGAAGCATTTGATGGCGAATGGTTTAAATCTGGTGACATTGGATACTTTGATGATCAAGGATATCTCTACGTAGTCGACAGAAAGAAGGAACTCTTAAAATACAAAAACTATCAAGTCACACCATCAGAAATTGAAGCTATCATCAATGTAATTAATGGAGTCTCAAGTAGCTGTGTTGTAGGAGTTCCTGAACCAAATACTGGCAATGACATTATTCATGCATTTGTGATTATTGACAAAGAAGCTAGCCTTGATAAACAATTTATATTAAACTATGTCAATGAAAAAGTAATTGATCCGAAACGGATTCGCGGAGGTGTTCACATTGTTGATGCATTTCCACTTGGCATGACTGGAAAGGTTGATAGGAAGAAGGTTAAGGAAATGGCAGGGAAACATGGAAATCAATAAAATTGTTAATTCTACAAAATATTAGGTCAAATAAAGTTATTTTGAATAATAAATACGATAATGATTAAGATCGGTGGGATTCGTACTTTAATGATGTAGCTAAATGTTTTTATACCCACTTTGCAAGTATAAAAGAAGTAGAAAAAGAAGGACAGACTATCTATTTCAGATGTCACTTTTCAGCAACGTATTTATCTAGTGTTACCTACTTTGCGTAATAATAGCTCTTTAATCATATGTTGCAAGTAGACATGATGTATGCCATTTATTGCCGTGAGTTTATAATTGTGGGAAATTTATCTGATTTGTTTTGGATATTACTTGTTGAGTCATATGAAGCTTGTTGGTGTGTAATTAGTGAGAAGTTATAAAACTCGATGATTTATTTGTCATTAGCAACAGTGCCTTAAGATTGTGTATAGAAATCGAAGTGTTTAATTTTCAAGCATTTTGGAGATGCAAAAACCAACATTTGATTCAGTCAACAAGATTTGGCATGGACCGAAGGTTCCACCAATCTACAATCCAGACCAAAACCTCGGTCAACTTATTCTTAAAATCTTGCAACAAACACCAGACTCAGTCTCTCAAATATCAGCAGACACTGGTGTGTCAGTGACTTGCCAGCAAATGTACGATCGATCCATAAAGATTGCAAAATATTTGACAAAATGTGGCATAAAGGAAGGTGACTTAATTGGATTTGTGACAACTAATACTGAAAATCTTGCTGCAATCGTCTTTGCATGCTTCACATTGGGACTTCCAATCAACCCATTAGCTCCAGTAATGAATGAAAAAGACATCGTTCAAATGTTTTCAATGACGAAGCCGAAAATGATTTTTTGTGATGCTGAAAATGTTAAAGTTGTGCAAAATGCTGTGGATGAGATGGAAAGTGAGGCAAACATATTGACTGTCATGGATAAAGTTGAAGGTTTTGAGTGTGCGACTGAGATTTTGAAGAGCATGCAAGGCAGTGTTGATGATTTTGAGTAAGCATAAAAAACTTATTGTAATGCTCAAAAACTCAATAATTTGCCATTTCAGATTCCTATCAATTGACCCAAATTCAACAGCAGCAATTTTATGTTCATCAGGATCGACTGGATTTCCAAAAGGAATCTGCAAGTCACATCAGCAAATAATCTCAAGCTTGTCGATTTATTGGAACAAGGCAAGAACCAAAACAGTTACATTTTTCCAAATTTCTCCAATATTTTGGATCAGTGGATTCAATACTTTAGTTTATGGAGTTCTGTTTAAAGCAGTCAGAGTGATTACATCAAAACCATTCGACTTAGCAGAGGTCATTAACAAATATAAAGTCACAGACATAATGACTCCTCCAGTTGCTCTGGTCAATCTCTTGCAAATCAAAGACTTAAAGCCATTTGAAAGTGTTGAGTACTGGATCTTAGGTGGAATGACTGTTGCATCAAGTTTGTGTGAGAAATTTGAACCATTTGTTCCAAATGGAATCTTAATTAATGGATATGCATGTACTGAAGAAGGAATCATAACGATTAATAATTCTGGATGCAACTATGGCAGTCCAGGTCGAGTTTTTGATAATGTTGACTTAAAGGTAAATTTTAATACCTAGCACATAGCTTTTCTTACTGCTTTTTAACATCTTCCAGGTTATTGAAGACAATGGAAGATCAGCCAATGCTTACATCCACGGAGAAATTTACTGCAAAATTCCCTTTCAATTTACTGAATATTTTAACGAACCACAAAAAACTGCAGAAGCATTTGAAGATCAATGGTTCAAAACTGGTGATGTTGGGTACTTCGATGACGATGGCTATGTTTTTATTGTAGACAGGAAGAAGGAAATGCTTAAATACAATGGATATCAAATAACATCAACGGAAATTGAGTGTATCATAAATAAAATAAATGGAGTTTCGACTAGTTGCGTTGTAGGAGTTCCTGAGCTTAATACTGGCAGTGACATTATTCATGCATTTGTGATTATTGAAAAAGAAGCTAGCCTTGATGAAAATTGCATATTAAACTATGTCAATGATAAAGTAATTGATCCAAAACGAATTCGTGGAGGTGTTCACATTGTTGATGCATTTCCACTTGGCATGACTGGGAAAGTTGATAGAATAAAGGTTAGAAATATGGCTAAAAAGATTTGTAAGCAATAAACCTTCAAGAAATTTATTTAAATGACAAAGCAAAAATTCCAGACTTTATTTTATTAGCTGTTTCAACTCTAAACAAAAATCTGACGGCAAAACAAATTAAACATTTGGAAGGGCAATTGTGTAACAGTAATTTTTATCACCTTCTTACCGCAACAACTTACATCAATCTCGGTTATCATCACATAAAACAAACAGTTTAAAGATTCATTTATAAATGACATTGACCAAGAATTTAAATTTTTGGACCCTAATTTAATTCCTATGCTTATCTCTTCTCACATCAAACATTGAACGTCACTTATGAACGATCCCAACCAAAGTTATCATTTAGAGAATAAATTTGAAGAGCCGTTGATAAAAGATTTTTATTTGTTTTTAAGAAGATATAAAATAAAATGATTTGAATATAAGCTTCACAGTCAGTTCCATTGCTTCTTTTAATTTTGTACAAAAACTTAAAATCTCTAATAAAATGGCTACAGCAACTTTTGATCCAATAAACAAAATCTGGAGTGGACTAAAACTCAAACCACTCTACAATTCGGACCAAAATCTTGGCTATTTAATTCTTCAAATTCTTCAGCAGACTCCAGACTCAGTCACTCAAATCTCAGCAGACACTGGTGTGTCAGTGACTTGTCAGCAAATGTACGATCGATCCATAAAGATTGCAAAATATTTGACAACATGTGGAATGAAGGAAGGAGACTTGATTGGGCTTGTAGCTGCAAATACTGAGAATCTTGCACCAATTGTCTTTGCAAGTTTCACATTGGGACTTCCTGTAAATCCATTATCTCCAGCAATGAATGAAAAAGACATCGTTCAAATGTTTTCAATGACGAAGCCAAAAATGATTTTTTGTGATGCTGAAAATGTGAAAATTGTGCAAAATGCTGTGGATGAGATGAAAAGTGAAGCAAAAATATTGACTGTGATGGATAAAGTTGATGGATATGAGTGTGCGACTGAGATATTGAGGAAAATGGATGGCGAAAGAATTGATTTTGAGTAAGTGGAACCAAGAAATAAACGCCAAGAAGTATAATAAAATTCAATTTCAGATTCAAGAACATCGACTCAAGTGCAACAGCAATAATTCTATGTTCATCAGGATCAACAGGATTTCCAAAAGGAATCTGCAAGTCTCATAAGAGCATTATCGAATTCGCATATTCGTTCTTTGAGAAACCACGTGGACATCAAATTGTGATGCTTCAGTCTTCATCAATATTTTGGATTAGTGGATTTAACATCTTAATTTTTTGTGTCTTATATAGATCAACCAGAATAACAACTGCAAAACCATTTGATCCATTTATGATTGCTGACATTATTCATAAATATCAAGTCACGGATTTAATAACTCCACCTTTTATATTCGTGGATCTTCTCCAAAAACCTGATTTAAAGCCATTTACAAGTATTGATCATTGGTTTGTTGGTGGAATGATTGTGTCTGAAAGTTTATGTGAAAGATTCAAGCATTTCGTTCCTAATGGGAAAATAGTCAATGGATTTGCATGCACAGAAGAAAGTCTTCTTACTGTTAATAACTCTGAAGGTAAATTCGGTAGTATTGGAACAGTTGTTGAGAATGCTGAATTGAAGGTAGGAACAAGTTTGTCTCTCACATTTCTGAAATTTTAATCATAACATTCCTAGATTGTTGATGAGAATGGAATTTCTCTCGGACCAGAACAACTTGGCGAAATTTACGGCAAAGTTCCAGTTCAATTTTCAGAATATTTTAATCATCCGGAGAAAACAGCTGAAGCATTTGAGGATGGTTGGTTTAAAACTGGTGATATTGGCTATTATGATGCAGCTGGCTTCTTCTACATAGTTGACAGAAAGAAGGACCTTATGAAATATTACAACTATCAAATCACTTCATCTGAAATTGAAATGATAATTGATGAAATTGAAGGCATAATCAGCAGCTGTGTTGTAGGCGTTCCTAATAGTGAAACAGGCAATGACATTATTCATGCATTTGTTATTGTCGACAAGTCAAAGAACTTACAAGAAAGCTTCATACTTGACTATGTCAATAAAAAAGTCATCGACCCAAAGAGAATCCGTGGAGGTGTACACATCGTTGATTCATTTCCATTAGGATTGACTCAAAAAGTCGATCGAAAGGCAGTCAGAGAAATGGCAAAGAATTATTAAGTATGTAAAAAAATTCTGTGCATTAAAACCTGAAATAAATACACAATTTAAATTCATTGCATGCACTCGAGAACTTCCACAAATGCTTTTTAACTCTTATACACTTTGTCGTCGCAGCAATAAAACTAAGAACGACACTTTTTCTGCTTCTTTTTACTTTAACATCTGTGAGTAATGTGAAGAAATATTTCCCCAACCCCACTTTTCGTTCATCCTTCAAAACTTTTTTTGTGAGTACTTTGTTGTCTAGTTGATGGGGTTGTGTGGTTGCTTTAGCTCATTGGCTGTATGCAGAGATATTATTAAGCTTAGTTAATAATTATTTTGTTCACAAATGTGAGGGGGGGGGGGGGGGGTGAGGTGGAGCGGGGGTGTACTCACCTTAGCTACATTCTTAAGTCAAGTGCAGTAGTTCTCAAACGGAGTGTCACGGAACGATCGTGTTTTATGATTTTTGAACTTTGACATTCTTTGAAATTTCAAAAGGTGCCGTGTACCGAAAACAGAAGATTGAGAAACTCTGAATAAAATCCGATCGAAATTCGTTGAAAAATGCTCGACTTCCACTTGGCTCCTAAAACTTTTCTCTTTTCTTTATTTTTATCTGTGACAAAAAATTATTGATAAAATGAGAAAAGTCACACAAAACTGTCACGAATATATGCAAAAAGGAACTGCCACTAGACACATACAAAGTCTCATATATCATAGAACAGAAAATGATGAACGACTTTTTTGCTTCTTATTTTCTCAATTCTATGATAGCTTTTGATATTACAAAATGAATAAATGTGAGTGTGATTTGTGTGACTGTTGTTGTTTTTGATGACGATGGTGAGAGGAAGGCAAGAAAAAGTTCAAGAATGTGAAAATGAATATTGATTATGTTGCGGATGTGATGAGAATATTTTTCATCTTGTTGACTTTTGTGGGATTTTTTATTTTGGATATCTTGGAGATTTTTTTGAATTTATACCTTGGTTTCAAGACGTGGAAACTCAGGATTAATCCTGAAAAATCCTTAAAAAAATCCCTGAGCCAATAAACGTGGAAATGTAAAATCCCTTTTAAATCCCGAAATTTTTCATCAAAAGCATCAAAGATTTAAAATGGAATTCTCATTTCCACGTTTATTGGCTCAGGGATTTTTTTATGATTTTTGGTATTTTTCAGGATTAATCCTGAGTTTCCACGCCTTGCTTGGTTTCAAATAAAAAGCTGTCTTAAGATTTTTTCGCTCATAAAAATCTAGGTTCAGTTTTATTCAAAATTTAACTAAGCTTGGGTCTCTAGATATTCATAGCTTTGATATAATCACATCTTAGACATTATTCAGTTCGGATTTTGTTTAATTTTAGAAACCTTCAAAAAGTAGAATCAATTCTAAAGCTTCGGGCCAAACTTTGCAAAGTAAATAAACAAACAAACCAAAAGGGGGGATAGGAATACGAAATCAAATAGCTTATTAATAACTCTCATTAATTATGCAAGATTTTCGCTATTTTCGTCATTCTTATCTTCTCAAACAAAATTAAAAATCATCGTCACGAGTAAAGTTTAAAAATATTCTGATTTTTAACTTCCGACTTCATTTGAATTGTTTACAAACACTTAAACTAGCTTAGATTCATCATAGTTTACAATCTTATCAACAATTTCAACTACATATCAACAATATAGACTGTAAAGTATAAATTTAATTCATAAATAACATTGATTGGGAGAATTGAGGATAGATCAGGCGCGTAGCCTGGGGAGGGGGTGGTAGGGATTTGGGGGACAAATCCACCAACGTAAACAAAAATTTCTTTATTTTGCTAGGGTTTTTATCAAAAAATCACAAAAATACCCCCCCCCCCTAAATTTTTCCATATAAAAAAAATTTTTGTCCCCACCTCTTCAAATTCCTGGCTACACCCCTGGGATAGATTGTTGTTTTTCTATAGCTTGAAAAGCATTTAACAAGCTCAGTTGTTTTTACTGCTTCGAGTTGGGTAATCACAATTTAATTTAAGAATTTCAGAATTGGATTTCAGCTTTGAACAAGATGTCAAAATCATTTTTCGATACAGTGAAGAAAATTTGGCATGGACCGAAAAATTCACCAATTTATAACACAGATCAGAATCTTGGTCAACTAATCCTCAAAGTCCTACAACAAACTCCAGATATTTAACAAAATGTGGCATGAAGGAAGGCGACTTAATCGGATTTGTGACGGCTAATACTGAAAATCTTGCTCCAATCGTATTTGCATGCTTCACATTGGGACTTCCTGTTAACCCATTAGCTCCAGTAATGAATGAAAAAGACATCGTTCAAATGTTTTCAATGACGAAGCCAAAAATGATTTTTTGTGATGCTGTGTTGCACAACTGCAAATGGTGAAGTTGATAAATATTTAAAACAAGAAGTTCTGGATCTATTGATAATAAAAAATAGACTAATTTATTCATGCTATGCTATCTTCTTTTATACTAATTGCTTCAAGGCCTTACAAAGGAATGTGCACACCAAATTGCACACGGCACTGCAATTATTACGCCCTTGAATGAAAGTATATTCAACTTTAGCATAACGTCATTCTTAAGTTATACATTACAATAAATTATGAAATACATAATGATTATCAAATTCATTAACGACATGACATAATTCAAATCTAAAGCATAATTTGGATATACTAAAGTGACATCTAGTGAAATTTATAGAAAGTATAAAAGTATATCATAGATAAATAAATATGTTAATATCGTATATTAACATTACTCCCCCCTCACGAATTTAATAAACCCTATTATTTGCGTTTAGGTGATGGCTCTGGTGTTCTGATAGGTAGATGATCCTTATTCGGTGCAACGGGCTCCATCTTGATGTTGACTGTAGTTACCGCTTCCCTGCGCTTCCAACAACAGATTCCTATTAACGTGATTAGCACGATCGCAACGATGGTTCCCAACACAGCAAACAGAAAAGTGGTTAAATCATCTTCTTTTCGTTCTGGGATATTTGCTTCTATTCCAAGATCGATTTCCCCTTGAATCTCCTTTGCATCTTGATTGACTAAACTGTCAATTAGAATTGTCTTGTGTGGAGTTGTACTTTCTGATACGTTCCAACTTAATTCTGGAATGTGGAACGATGAAACATTTCCAGATTCCTGATGATCTTCTAAATAATCAATCTGATTAAAGGTTGTGGATATGAAGCATTTCTGTTCTAAAATCACTGTACCAGTAATTCCATCAATTTTTGTTCTCGAATTTGGATGACATATTTTCTCCTTTTGAACATTACTAGCGAAGCAATAGACGTTTGGAATAACCTTAACCCAATAATCATATTCTTCAGGTAGTTTTTTATAAACGCATGATATTGACATCTCATTCATTGTAATTGCCACTGGACACGCTGACTTTTTAGACAATTTCATTAATCTTGAAGCTTCAATCACTTGATGTGTGACGTTAATCTGGTTTATCAATCGAAACTCCTTCACGTACATACTTGTGACGGGATTCATAATCACGATTTGTGGTTCAAAATCTAAAATTTGCCCATCAACCGTTGGCGTTGGGATTACTTTGAATACTTTTAATGTATCTTCATGTAGAATCGGCCACACTACTTCGTAAATTATTTGACTGTTCTTTAGGACGATCTTTATGTCAAACATTGTTCTCCACTGTTCTAATCTTATGTTTGGAACATGGATCTGATCTGCTTTTAATTTTCCAATCATTGTTTGCATTTCTTCGTTTGTGATTATTGCCTCAGTATACTTCTCAAAAATATACTCAAAATGCTCATTGATGAGACTATGAACGTGTTGGAACTGCAAAGCCTGTTTCAATTCTGCATCTCTATTGTCCCACGTCGCTTCGTACTCATTTACTGCATCCGTCAATATTAACAGTTGGCTGTTTACCTTCTCTTCAATGCTTTTTTGATGTTTGTTTGCTAACTCTTGTGCTTTTGACAGATGTTGAATTGCCTCATAACTAGGCTTATTCTGATGATAACCAAACAAAAGTCTCCATAGATGTGTAACAATTCCCTCATTATCAGTGCTTCTCTTAGACCTACTGCGTCTTTCTGATTTTTCTGGTTGTTTAAATTCTCCAATGAGTCGTTTAACATTATCAGATGAAGCTCTCAATACATCAAGATTTGCTGTACATATAGACTTTGAAAATCCGCTTGCACGATTGCATTGGACTTCATAACTATTCATTGCTCGTTTAATAGTTTCGTGATCTTGTTGTGGATACATTCCAGTGCTGACTTCCCACTTAATGTCGCCTGCTTTCCTCCATGTTGTCGCAATATCGAACACCATAGCTCCACCAAACGCTTTTTGCGGTAATAACACCCTGCCTAAAACAATTGGTACGAAACTAATTAATACAATGAATTTTAACAAACTAAATGTTAACGTTTTGCTAGAATTTCTAGCTGCTACTCTAGCACTTTGTCTTTTAGGCTGTTCAACTTTATTTTCTTGCTTTTTTATCAACTTCTGATCAATTTTATCAGTAGCATCATTATTTTTGTTGGACTGTATATTAGCAATGATAGGCAAAGTGACTACTTCCGTCATTGCTCTTTCATGTGTATGACCTAATGAATTCTTTACAGTGACTACTCTAACAATCTTATCCTTGCCAGGATGTATCTTGGTAATAACTGCCTTAGGCCAACAATTAACGCTGCTGTTTTTGTCTTTTAACAGCACGACTTCCCCTACTTGAGGATTTTCAACTCTCTTAAACCATTTATGCCTGGACTTCAACTCATTGAAATGCTTATTCTGGACAACTTCCCAACACTTTTCAACAAGTTGATCCATCATAATGGCTCGTTTGGTCAGTTCCACAGCCTGACCATTTGTTTTTGGAATAGGTCCTGATGGCAATGCCACTAAAGGACGCGAAGCCCAAAAATGGGCTGGAGTAATGACAAACGGACGTGAATTGTCATCAGATTTTGTGACAGCTATCGGTTTGCTGTTAATCACAGCTTCAATTCTCT